TTTCAATTTCGGTTTCTATTCTACTTCTTAATACTATGCTTTTGATTTCGTTCATTATGTCTGAGTAGTTTTATTGTTGGGATTAAGGGATTTTTTCGATGGGGATTTATATGTTCGATGAGGATTCCATGAGCTTTTGAGCCGAATCTTAGAACTTTTTCTTCTGAATTCGTTTTTACTGCATGAGAGTAGCGTCATGAACTACAATCTGATCCAGATGCTTGGTGACACGAAAGTGTTCATCAGGTATCAGATCTAGTTTGGGAGAGCAAAACAAACATAGGAGTGGAAACCTACCTATGTGCGATTTGTGAATTAGGACGAGTCTTAAACATAATGCATCTCTTCTCTTCCAGGGCCAGAGTGGAAACCTACTGGTCAGGGTTGAGAGAGATAGTTGTCTATGATCACGACAGTGGCGTATTCATACGTCCGTGACTCCAGTTCGAAAAGTTTAAGCTAAGCTCTTATCAATTTACTCTCTAGCAATGTTTTGAATCGTTCGTACCCCTAAGAAAACTTCCCTGAACCCCAACGCCTTCTTTCCCATTGATTTACACCGATTTTCTTTCAAGCTTTAGTTCAATATTGTCTTTCCTTTTTAGTAGATTTTCATTTAAGCAATTAGATATCCGTTTTTTACATTTTTAGTCATTTTCGTTAAGTTTAGTTATTACGCAATTTAATTCCCGTATTCTCTTTTAATATTTCATTTTTACATTTTAAACACACTACCAAACCCCCACAAAACCGTTTTGGTTCTAGACTTCCTTACTTTATACTTATTTCAAAGGCTTTTTGCAGGAAAAGATCCTCCTTCCCTGTGGATTCGATCCCTAAGTACTACAATCGATCAGCTGTGCACTTGCAGCTACTGATTTCAGTTAGGGTAAAACTTGACAACCCTCGACACACACATCAAGTCACCATCAAGTTTTTGGCACCGTTGCCGGGGAAATTGACGAGAAAATTGACGACTTGTCAATGCGCTTTAACAGAAAGCTTGAAGATCTTTCAGCTCAAGTCAAGACCATCGAAAGCCAACTAAACGAATGTGCTGAAACCATCCAGGAGAGGATGGAAGCAATCGAAGAACGAGTTGGAGCACACGAAGTTCGCATTGGCAAAGCCGGTTGGAGCATCCGCACCTTAGAGATCAAACTTGGTGAAGCAGAAGAGACTATTAACTACCATAACAACCAAACCTATTCTTACGTGGAAGAGATTTGGGATGGAGTACACAAGGTTCAAGAGAAAGCAGAGGCAATAGACTCAACCGTGAACAAAGTAATCTATGCCCTCGATGAAATCAAAGAGAAGGTCGAAAAGCTTATGCAAGGACGTGAAACGAATGGTTCGACGCTTCTCATCAAAGATCTTAGCCTAAAAGAGGAGGATACGGAGTTAGAAGGTGCAGAAATCAGTTCAGATGGCAAAGGAGCAGACGAAACGGAGGAAACAACTCAGAGCCTCCTTCCAGCGGCCGGAACTCTCGTGACCGCAGCCAACAAGCTTCCAGCCGCGGTCGTCAGCCTCCTGACCGCGGCAAAACCCTCCTCACCCGCGGTCGTGAAGCCTCTACCCGCGGCAAATGCTCCGTCAGATACCTTTCAGCCCTTTTCAACTCCTACAGGTCAATGCTTATTTGATACATCTGCTGGGATGGTCAAAGCCCCTCTTCATGAGCAAACGGTGTATGCTATCAGCTCCAAAACATCTCAAGAAGAAAATGAGGTACTCCCTTGCAACATAGTTTTAGCATATGAGGATGAATATGAAGGGAACTACCTCGAAGATGAAGACTATCGTCTGTTCATAGAAGGAGGGAATCCTGACAAAATGGCGGAATTAGGAGCACCAATCTCCAGAGAAAGGCTCGTTGAATTCAACAAGTTTGTGAAATCAATCCCTCTTTACACAGGTTTCGATGATATATGGCATCTTGGTTGTTTGCAAGTTTTCTTTAGGTACAGCAAGGAGACAAAGGAGGATATTCGAACCTACTTTGGGAGGGCCAGACGTCTGACTTTTCCCAGAACATCACCTGATGCTGCTGTTTATTCAATCCACCTCCAAAGACCGGAAGAGTGCAGCCACTACATCAAGCAAAGAAAAGCTCGATGAATTCAATGATGTGGTTCGAAATTTGCCTCAAGGAATCACGTTTGCCAGAGCTTGCAAGGACTTTATGATAGGCCACTACTTCTGTGAGAGCAAAGAATCAATCCCTGAGTTAGAAGACTTGTTCAATCATGCCAGAAGAGGTAAACCTGTTCGAACACTTCACAAAATCGATGGTACAGGTCAGTTTCTTATCTCTTGTTCTATTAGAGGAGAAATGTTTAAAAACGTGCTATGTGATTCTGGAGCTTAACTTAACATGATGTCCAAGGCAATTGCTTTGAGACTTGGTATTAGATACCTGTGCAGGACTAGAGCAAAGATTAGTCTAGCTGATGATTCAAATGCAACACCTCAAGGAATAGCTCATGAAATTCCTTTGAGAATAGGAGATTGCATAGTGCCTGTCGACTTCCACATTGTCGAGACGAGAGATGCAACATATCCAGTGATTCTGGGATGGTCTTTTCTAGCAACTTCCGGAGCTATAATGGACTGGCCAAACCGGAGGATTTCATTTGCTAATATCGACAAAGATGTCTTCACAGAAGCTGTTCCATACAACAGCAAAGCAGGAAAACGTTCTGCAACAGAAGAATTTGAAGAAGAACTTTGGAGTGACGAAGAACCTGCTAAGCAAAGCAAGGAGATGTCGAAAAAGACTTGTCTCAGGACAAGGTCTTCTTCATTGGGATAAGTCACATCCAACACCAAAAGTCGAGCTAAACAACTTAAAACAGAAGCGCTTAATGGGAGGCAACCCATTTAGGTATTGCTTTCTTTAGAATTTTTCTTTCTTTTTCTTTTGATCTTTTTCTTTTCCTTAGTTTCAGGTGTTTCTTATAAAACAAAAAAAGCCAAAAAAATTCAAAAAACCAGAAAAAAACCAAAAAGAAGGATGGTACCTGACTGCTCGGCCCAGCAGGAACCAAGGAGAAGCAGGAAGAGGCCGCGATATAAGCCCCCGCGGTCGCAGATGTTCTGACCGCGGGAAACCTATCATCGACCGCGGTCGCGTAGTTTTGACCGCGGCCAAGCGCTTGGTTGCCACGGTCGTATGGCCCCTGACCGCGGCACTTGGTCATTGACATCAAACCCGACCCCAAACCACCCTTTTCACCTCATTTCACCTCACCAATCACCCTCCACCTCATTCATCACCCTCCACCACCTTCATCACCACCCATCACCTTCCCAAAACCTCTTCGAATGAATCCGGTACATCTCCACCAGCATCCCGGATCCAGGTAAGTTCTCTTTGTCCTTACCAATTCGATTATCTATGCATTTTTCTCATCCAATCTTCGACTTGTTTCACACTGAGGATAGTGTGATTTAAGTCTGGGGGAGGATTTCATCCCTTTCTAACCACTTTTCTTTCATGAGTCTTGCATTATCTACACTTTTTGCATTTTCCTTAAAGTTTTTCAAAATCGGTTTTCAAAACAAAATACGTTTTAAAGGGAATGGTGAAGATGAATCAATGATAGTTGACTGTGTGCTTTTAGACTGTTCCTAGTGACATGCTCATTCATGATTTAGGGCTAGACTAGACGGTAGCTAAGCACATTTGAAACAAAGTACCCCAGAGGAATTTGAATGATTTCGATTTAGATGAAGGGATACACTAGCTCTGTTTTATTTGGACTTAATTTGGACTTAATTTTCTCATTGAAGCATTAGATCAGGGAAACGAATCATACATTCAGGACTCCTTTATCCTTTTACCACTCTCTGTTGAAACGTCGTTCTTCAAAAACACATAAACCCTAAAATAATCATCAATATCTTACTCGCTGATCGCATACTCTTCATCAGATGAAATACCCATCGTACACCTTAAAAGCAAGAGGGATGGGCATTTCATCTGATGAAGAGTCAGATCAGCGAGTCAGATCTTACCCTGGAAAAATGTCGTCCTTCAAAAACACATAAACCTGAAAATAATCGTCAATCTCTTACTCGCTGATCTCAGACTCTTCATCACATGAAATACCCATCGTACTTACACCATAAAAGCAAGAAGGAAGGGTATTTCACTTGATGAAGAGTCAGATCAGCGAGTCAGAGTTTGGTCAGCGAGTTTGGTCACCTGATGTTGCCGACTGGGAAATACAAGGTTTAATCTTTGTTCAGGCAAGAAAAACATGATTACAAGTATAAAGCGTTGATTGGCATTGATTGCTCATGCTTATACTTGTAATCTTGTTTTTTTTTCTGAACAAAATTAGGCTTTGTAGGATGCAAAGACGATGTAGGTTTTTGTATTCAGTTTTTCACATTTGGTTTTTGGTTTTCAGTTTTTGATTTTAGAATTTTGGATATCTTCGTTTGTAATTTTTTGGTTTAACCTCAGTTATTTAAAAAAAAATTTTTAAAGAATAATTACTTTCAATAAGATAATAAATTCTCGTGATTTACGCTTATCTATTATGAATAAAAAAAAGAGGCGTCTGCTTGATGACGTCTTCACGCGTAACCAGTATAAATGGGGCTATAAATGAGTGCAGATCCTCGATATAAAACTGGTCCAACTACCAAGTCTTATCAGATGTTAGGGTTGCATGTAGGTTATTAAAAAAGTTTGTGAAATATTTCCATTAATCACAAAAAAACATAATAATATTAATAACCAGATAAAAACATAATATAAACATACAGAAAACATAATAAGAAGTTCACGAAAACTAAAAAAAAAACAAAAAAAAACACAATTATTTAGAGTCTTTTCCGCCGTGGATGTTATGTTAACCATCTATGGCGTGGATCTTGGTGAAGCTACGTGTGAGTTCCTCGTAGCTTGTCCTGTCTTCCCGGTACATCACTGCTACCTCCTCCCTCACGACGTCGCCTTCCGCCACTAGCGGATGCATTAGCATCTAGGCCAGACTCATCAGCATCTGGGCCACAGATGTCGCGATGCACCATGTATCAGGCATGAGCATCGGATGGAAGATGTTGCCACGATGGCTCACATTGGGGTGGAAGATGGGGGTCCGGAAGTGCACCTTCAGTGGCTTCCATGGGAAATCCGGAGGGAAGATGATGCGGAGAAAGAAGACACCCCCTTCGTAGGGAGTTCCCGGCGAACCGGTGATGGTCGCTGCCCACACATACACGTTCTCCGCCTCCACCCCGGCGGAGTATATGGGCGACGGGTTTCGCTGGAGGTCAAGCAGGTATCGGCGCATCCAGTACTCGGGACCTGTTGATGACGCCGGACAAATGTTGTGAGCAAAGTGGGCCATTTGGGGAAATTAGGGTTTTGAGTTAGCAAAGGGAAAGATAAGATTTATTTTTTTGACGTTTAGGGAATGTTTCTTTCTCTGCGATGGTGTTATGAGAAGGCGAGGGTGTGGTATTTATAGAAGAAGAAGTTAAGCGGTGGCATGCATTAATGGTGCCGTCTCACTATGGGATTTCTCTCACTATACAAATACTGCCTTTCTCTATTCCCACACGCGTCGTTTTAGATAACATAATTTAATAACGACAAGACAGTTACCCGACAACCAAAGAGCAACAATATTTTAAACCGACTAATACCAAACCGAAATCCTCTAACTAAATAGAAACTGATTCCTATAACAATAACAAAACAATATCCTCCAAATAAATTTAAATTTTGCAAACAATACGATCCCACAATTTAGTTCTTAAAAAAACCATAAATTCAAATCGACAGCATGATAGAGTGAACATCTCGGACTGTTAATTCCTACTCTTCTTCTTCTTCTTCTCATGCTGCACCTCCCCTTCCTCGACTGAACCACCAGATTGTTCCTACATGGTAACATAGATATGTGGTTTATACTATAGTTATACCTATTAGAATCAACTAATACCTATTACTACCAAATAATACCTATAAGTACCAAAAATACTTGAATTCCAGTCCGTTGTCTGGTCAAATACTTTCTGACATCCGCTGCCTTCGTCTTCGTCTTCTTCTTTTCCTTCTTTGCCACCTCACCTCCCACTTTTTCATTCTCTTCAACTTTTTCTTCACTCTCTTCTTCTCCTTTTTTTCCTTCTTCTCCCTCTTCTCCTTCATCACCTTGTTCTTTTCCTTCATCACCTTGTTCTTCTCCTTCCTTCTCTTCTCCAAGACATTCACTTCGAATTGCCTCTTTCACATAAGATTCAAGGACTTCAATCTAATATCCATGCCATTGATGTGGTCTCTCATTAGTTGGAACTGCTCATCTATACTTTTCTTCAACCCTTGAATCTGGTCCACAATCCCACTCGGCGCTGGAGATTTAGAGGAGGCATTCTTTGCTGGTTCAACTCTGTTTTTTTCATCGTCCAAGCTCATATCCTTCCAGAATATCGGCTTCCCATCATCAATTATACGACTCGTCCAAGTATTAGGAATTGTATTACTGTTATCTGGGTATTCATACCTTTCCATGATACCAGCTAACATATCTTCCTCATCAGCAGATGGTTCCAAGATACTCTGGATATCTTTGGTATTACCGAGTGTTTCGTAGAGGTCCGACAGAGGAAATCCTTTGAGAGTGAATGGTCTGAACTTTGTCTTACACATCCGAGGACACTCTATGTCTGCTCCTTTAGCTTCTTCTCTGTATGAGTCCTTCAAACAAGGTATTGCTTCAAAAGGTAGCAACTCCAAGGGAGTAACAAAGCCACGAAATGTCCAAGAATCGGTTTCGACGACCCCATTGAAGTGTCTCAATGTATGTTCAATTTCCTTTAGATTCGCATCAAATGAATACCTCCCCCAAGAAAATGTTCTACACGCATCGAGATCTTCTACCATCCTCAAGAATAAAGGGTCTACCGAGGGAGCTCCTTTCCCAATCTTAGCCTTACCACCTAACACGCTTGCTAGAAAGTACAAAACACACATTCTTAAGTACAGGACCACAACGCATCTTTTCAAGCTTATCTTTAACAACAGCAAGTGCAGGGACAATTCCTTTCTTAAAATACCTCTCCTTAAAATCACTATTGCCCATCTTCTCATAATTCTTTGGATAATCATGGCAGTCTAATCCAGATATGAGTGCATGTTCCTTAAGCGAATACCGAATTGGAACTCCATTAACAACAAACCAACACTCTCTCCTCTTGTTTGTCTTTGCTGTGTGTAGAAGGAGCATCCACAATCCCTGAGTCTTCTGGGTTGTATCCAAATACATGGCCTTGTGCATTTGCCAGAATTGCTTGAATTGAGGATACTCTCGTTAAACCATCTTAGCTCCTCGGGTCTCAGTCCCAGTGACGATGACTCCAGATTCTCCACTGCTTTGTGGATCCAACACCGAGTACCTAACTTTATTGCCTTGTTGTACTGATTTGGACTAAAATACATACTCAGCGGTTGCATTGGCGGCTGGTTTTCCTCATCATTACGCGTTTGCTCATTACACGTTTGCTCCTCAACCTCACTACGAAAGCGTAATGGCTCCCACAGCGTTAATTGAAGCGACTCACTATCTCCTCCGAATGATGTCATTACAGTATTTCTACGGGATCCACACATCAATCAAAGTGAACTGAACTCAAATTTTGCAGGTAATACTAATTTCAGTTCCTCATTCCTAAACTCAGGTATCAGACACTACAGATTCATTTGTAAGCCTTCTGTCTAAGATAATTTACGGTAAAACGGCAAAAAGGAAGAAAAAACGAAGTACGAACCTGATGCGAATTTGAAGATTGTGACCAGTTTAGAAAATCGAAAACTCTTCGTAGTATCCTTGTAGTTGTACCTAATGGAACGAATTTTCTAGAAATGATTTACATTCGAATTTTAGGTTATTCAAATTTAGATCCGAAATCAAATCCAGTATAGCTAACTGGATGTGGATATTTGATCCATGACTGGTGGGATCAGTAAATATTATGATATTTTAAGAGTGATTAAGTATTTTCTCATTTTTCCGATTTAAAAATAATTTAAAAATAAATTAATTTTTATAATGTTTGTATATGAAAATAAATTGCTTGGTGGTATATAACGGTTTCTTTTCTTATTTTTTGGTGTTTTATTATTTCTGTGTCTCGAGATTCGCTTTTCTCCTGCGATCTTTTTTTATCATTTTCTCTTTGTCGGTTAGATTTGGAAAACTTTCAACTACAAAGAGAGATTCCTAAAGTTTTCCACCAAAAAAAGTAAAAGACTTTTCCATTAAAGAATGGTAGAAACAGGTCACCATCATCAACATCCACCGGCACCGGCTGCATTCGGTCCTCCACAGGTCTCATCTATGGCGGTTTCCAGAGGACCCACTTGGCCTCCCGCCGAACAACTCCATCATCTTCAGTACTGCATCCACTCTAACCCTTCATGGCGTTAGTTTCTCTCTCCCTGTTTGGTTTCTTGATTATTATATACCGATTCAGATGTAAATAATGTAAATTTTCGAAGTCAATATTTGTCTGAGTCCACTTTTCTCTCTCTCCTTTCTGCTTGTCTTTCTTGCTTTCTGTTGAGTGTTGAAGAATATTTTAGATCTCAGAATCGGATTCGATGCTTTACTTCATGATGTTTTGATGATATAAAGCTTTTAAACTATTTAAAATTGTTGTAAAATTGTTATTGACCCATACTAATCATGTAATTAAGAATAAATATTTTATGGTTGGTATGTTATTAGTTATTCATATGGACTTGGTGAACCCAAAATATTAGATTTATCATGGAGGTTGCAATCTTAGCAATTATCAGTGTCCATTTGAGTATGGTAATAATTACAGAAATTATTACCATAGAATTATGGTAATAATTGCTAAAATTATGGTAATAATCTTAGCAATTATTAGTGTCCAAAACTCTCATATGAACTTGGTCATAAAAAGGAAATGTTATAACTACAGAAATTGGCGAATTAAAGGTATTTTTTAACATATGGAGTGTATAATTATTTCCCTTCAATAACTGATTTTTCGTTTTCATTTTCCATTATCTTTGATTCATTTCGTTTTCATTAAAATACAGATGAGACGGTTGTACTAGCTTTCCAGCATTACATCGTGATGCTCGGGACTACTGTTTTGATTGCCAACACACTTGTGCCCCAAATGGGTGGAGATCCTGTATGTTTTGTTTTTTGGCTTTCGAATATTTTTGAGATTATATTGTTCTGAAATCGGTTGTTTGGTTTTGTGAACAAAAACAGGGTGATAAAGCGAGGGTTATTCAGACTATATTGTTTATGTCGGGAATAAACACGTTGCTACAAACGCTTATCGGAACAAGGCTTCCCACTGTTATGGGAGTTTCATTCGCGTATGTTCTTCCTGTATTGTCTATCATCAGAGATTACAACGATGGTCAATTCGATACTGAGAAGCAGGTAACAACTCGGCAGTACGGTTCTACTTTAGCTTCTTCTTTTTTATTTTATTTTATATGAAAGATACCATTGCCATTCTTGTCGGGGTATTCTTTTTCTGTTCTGTTTAAAATGGATTCTTACAGAGATTCCGGCATACTATGAGAACCGTACAAGGATCCCTAATCATTTCTTCATTCGTCAACATCATAATTGGATATGGTCAGGCATGGGGGAACTTGATAAGGTTATATAAAATCAACATAAAGAGATTAGTTGTTCAGAGTGCTGATGAAAGTTGTGGTATTTAATAATCCTTGTTTCTTCGATGCAGAATCTTTAGTCCCATTATTGTTGTGCCAGTGGTTACTCTTACGAGCCTTGGCCTGTTCGTTAGAGGTTTTCCATTGGTAACAGTTTCATCTAAAACTCTATCACTTTGAACAACTTCAACAGTTTCCCAATTCATTATGTGATCTTTTGGGGTTTACAGCTTGCAAACTGTGTGGAAATCGGTCTACCAATGCTTATTCTGTTGATCGTCTCACAACAAGTTTGGCTTTTTTTTTCTGTTTGTTCTAGCTCTATATATGATGGTGATTGTTTAGATATATTATTCTGAATTTTGCCGTCCATCTTGCAGTATCTTAAACATCTCATCCCAAGAATTCATATGATACTTGAAAGATATGCTTTACTAGTTTGCCTAGCACTCATCTGGGCTTTTGCTGCTATCCTTACTGTTTCTGGTGCTTATAACAATGTTTCGGTTGCGACAAAACAAAGTTGCCGCACAGATCGTGCGTTTCTTATGTCCTCCGCTCCCTGGTAGGTTTATTACTTTCTTTTTTAATTCTTAAATTTTCCTTCCAAGGTCAGATATCTGTGGAGTTGGTCCCTCATTTTCATTTCACAGGATTAGAATCCCCTACCCGTTCCAGTGGGGGACTCCGATATTCAGAGCGAGTCATGTTTTTGGAATGTTTGGTGCTGCGGTCGTTGCATCTGCAGAGGTAGAAATTCCTGTCCCTATTTGTTACTTCTCAGTGTTAGCTTCTCGCTTGTGTTTGATTCATGTTACAGGTTACAACTTGTTCTTATATTCTGCATATCTCAATATTTTTAGTCTACCGGAGTATTTTTTGCTGCATCTAGACTAGCAGGAGCAACAGCACCTCCAGCACATGTCGTCTCTCGTAGTGTCGGGCTGCAGGTTTATTCTCAGACACTCCTTTTACTTTTCTAATGTTTCAAGTAGTGGTTTAAGCTGTAATATTTTATTTATAGGGTATTGGTGTGCTCCTTGAAGGGATATTTGGTTCCATTACTGGCAATACCGCGTCTGTGTAAGTTAACATCTCTCTTTTCTACGTTGTACTGTCCTCTTAGTATACCTGTGAATGAAGTATTATTCAAGTTGAGAATAAAAGCTATCAGATCATATTTACAGCGAAAATGTCGGTCTCCTTGGACTCACACGAATAGGGAGTAGAAGAGTGGTGCAGATTTCGACGAGTTTCATGATATTTTTCTCCATATTTGGTATCTCTTTCAACCCCCTCACCCAAAAACAAAATAAAATTAGTTATAATGAGTCATCTTGATAGTGTTCAATTTAAAGAAGTAGCCATGTTGAGATTTGAACCTGTGTTTTTTTCAATTATCGTCAGGAAAATTTGGTGCCTTCTTTGCATCTATCCCGCTTCCAATCTTTGCAGGCATATACTGTATACTACTTGGAATTGTTGGTTAGTAGTATTTTGTATTATGAATCTATACTTCCTGATCTTTCTATTAAAAATAGGGCTGCTTCTGATATTATTGTGATGTGATTGGCCCAGCGGCTGTTGGAATATCTTTTATACAGTTTTCGGACACCAATTCTATGCGAAACATCTATGTCATTGGTGTCTCTCTCTTCCTAAGTCTTTCCATTGCTCAGTACTTTCTTTCCAACACTACAAGAGGAGGATATGGGCCAGTTAGAACAGCGGGTGGATGGGTAAGCGTCTTGAAGATCTTATGGTCTAGTGACAATTGTTTAAAAGACCAATATAAATGTGTGGAATTAGAAGGACAAAAGGAGTATCTAGGTTTGTTTTAACAGGAACATATAATGCAGACACAAACAAACAATTAAATATTATAAGTTCATTTACTATAGTGATATAATACATATACTATATCGTGTTTGTAGTTCTTAATATAATGTCGTGGTGACTTGTGGTGCAGTTCAACGATATACTTAACACGATATTTGCTTCGGCTCCGTTGGTGGCTATCATTGTGGCGACTATACTAGATAATACGTTGGACCCAAGTCATGCTATTAATGAAAGAGGAATACCATGGTGGAAGCCGTTTCAGCACAGGAACGGAGACAACAGGAACGACGAGTTCTACAGTTTTCCCCTTAGAGTTGGCGAGTACATACCTACGCGGTTCCTTTGAAAGACTGCTCCCCTGAAGGATTCTTCTGTATGTGGAAATGTAAGATTTGTGCAGGTCATATAGCTTCAGTTAATGAAGGAAAAAAAAAGAATATAAGACTTTGATGGAAAAAGCTATTTTGCAAACCAATACCTGTGTTACCCGATACTACGCGGCAGATTTTAATCTATTTTATCCGTAAATTTACCCTTTGGGTAAGTCATAGCTGCCTATATATAATAATGAAAAAGAATATAAAAATTATCCACCGAAGTTGAGTCACTTTATTCGGCAATCAATAACAGGGGTCTCCCAATTTTGGGTAGGTTACGGTCTGTTTGTGACACAGTATGTTTGATGTGGGTCTGTTTGTGACACACCGTGTGTTTGATGTGGAGCGGATAAGGAAACAGGTCTGTTTGTGACACACCGTGTGTTTGATGTGGAGCGGATAAGGAAACAATAAATCATGCTTTGTTTGAATGCTCCACGGTATTATAAACTTGGGCATTATCCAGATACTAACATCTATCAGGATTTTTCAGGGAACATCGATTTTTTTGAATTGGGATCATTTGTTTTGGAAACTCCCTAATAAAATGAATGATATAACATTCTCATGGATTGTATTAGGCCTGGACGTTCGGTTCGGATATCCATTCGGGTTCGGTTCAGATAATTCGGGTTTTTCGATTTTCGGTTTTTAGATTTAAAACCCATTCGGGTATTTTGGAATTTCGGTTTGGGTTCGGTTATATTTGATCGGGTTCGGATATTCAAAAAATAATAAAAATTAAATAGAAATAATTAAATTTAAATAAAATTGGTTAAATTCAAATAAAATTTGGCAAAATTTAACAAATATAACTAAAAAATTTAGTATATTTAAATTATTGTAGATTTTGTCATCATTTTCAGAATAAAAATATTTCATATTTTGGATTTATAATTGTAATTTTATGTTATTAAGTCTAAATGTAGTTAGTATTTTGGGTATATAATTGTATTTTGGATATTTCGGATATCTATTTGGATTTTCGGTTTGGTTTGATTCGGTTTCGATTTTTTGGATTTAAAATTTTAAAAACCGTTCGGATATTTTATCAGTTTTGGTTCGGGTTCGATTTCTCTTTTTCGGGTCGGATTCGGATAAATTGTTCGGATTCGGATAATGTGCCCAGGCCTAGATTGTATGGTATATTTGAAAAACGCGGAACGAGAAAGTATTTTCAATAAGGATATAGATCCACGTGTTACTTTAAAGATTACTTTAAAGGCCTGAGCAGGACTCGGTTTCCACTGCAAGTGGTACGCTAAAATCATTGGCAACACCAATAAGGTATGGTAGAGGAAGATGCTATATTGATGGCTTTTGGAAAGATACAAACCCAAAAGCGGAACTAGGATGGTACTATTTTCATGAGGGGACTACGGAAAGAGTTATGGATGCTCACAATGTGAGACGCAGCCTTACGCCATTGCATACAGAAACAGAAGGCCTAATTTGGGCTATACATTGTATGCTTGAGAATCAGATAACAACAGTAGCGTTTGCAACGGACTGTGCAGAGGTTGTGAAAATGGTGTCTATACCCGAAGAATGAACAGCTTTTGCTATACATTAAGAAGAGATTGGGAAGATGAAGGGCAGGTTTAATTTTTTCTCCTTATCACACATCCCTCGCGAAAAGAACTCGAATGCAGACAATCTAGCAAGAAGTACTCGTGTCCACCCGCAAGACGTGATTTATTTAAATTCGGTACCACCGGTTTGGCTTGTCGAACCGTTTTAGGTGCTTGAGCTGTTGACAAAAAAAAAAAAAACTACCCATAATAAGTCACTTATTTTTTTTTTGAATAGTTAGAAAGAATAACAGGGAAATCTTAAAAATACTACATACTACTTTTCAAAAGTACATTTTATCGATCTCCATCATTATATTATTTCCGAAGTGATTCGTACCGTGGTTCAAAGCTCATTTTAGGACGTCGTTTTGATTAATGAAATCGTAGTGTTTTAATTGGTCAACCAACGTGATTGATCGTTTTTGTTTTCTTTATTTTTTGTGTTTTTTTTAGAGAAATTTATATCAAAAACGTTACGGATCAAATATGAATCTGGATATAGAGAGCCCAATTCGTTAAAAAAGAAAACTAGGGCGCAATCAAATATATACAAAACAGTTTGATAAAAACTTAAAAAAAAAAAGATTGGTGAGTGGTTAAGAAGCCACATTTGTTATATCTATATAGCGGGTTCGAGTTCAGGGTCCTGTACCGGAAACGAACCTTACCTGATCATAAAATAGTAAAATTGTTAGTTTATGTGGAGATGAGGTCGGATTTATTTTAATCGTGTTATTTTTTTTGAGAAAAATATGTTAATTGTGATCTTATATAAATATTCTTCTCGAGTTTTGTATTCATCCCTAACACACAAAGATATACATCTTCGCTTAAACCCTAGGTTATCCCTGTGTATAAATAGTCTGTATTCTTTTATGTCGCTTTTTGAACTTTATTCGTTGTGTTCTAGAGTTTATAGTAGCATCATCTTTTTCGGAGTTTTCTAATCGTTCAAGATGTTTATTTACTTGCATTTGATACTAACCATGTGTTCTTCTGAGTACAGCTTTGCTCATCCATCTAAAGTGATGATTTGTTGGGAAGTTTCGTCTACTTCAACGGGTATAGACTTAAAGTTCTAAAACTTAATACGACCTATTGTTTAAAAAGTTTGTTAAATACCATGACTAGGTTTAGAGAACCAGACTTCTACTGATGGTTACCGTCTTCATTGGATGAACCTAGCGATCTCTTGAGCCTGAATGTCTAACAAAACAGATTATCGGGTTACCGTTACGTTACTCCATATGTTTTCACCGATATATCTAAGAAAATTTTTTAGTGTTCGTTCTAATCAATTTAAATTATTTTTCAACTTTTTAAATTATGTTTTGTTTTAGGTTATCCATGCGAGTTGCTTATGGATTCGGGTATCGAATCTTGGGTTTTGCGGTCGTACAATCCTATAATCGAAGGTTCGCTGTCTTGCCTTCTGAATTTCCTATGCATGTCTTTTTGCATATAATGTTTTTACAGATAAGAGCTAATATTTTATTCGTTTACGTAGATCGTGATTCTACGATTTATATATCTGTTGTTGATCAAAAAATATTGACTAGAGGAGGTAATCTCGTCTGCCCTGGTGCTTTGAATTGTAATATTATATTACAAAACTTTTACGTTAGTGTTTCTTTTTGTTTTATCATGCATGCTCTAATCTTAGGTTGTGAACGTGTTAATTCGATCAAGCGTTTTCCTTACACCTTTGATTGGGATTTTCAGAGAAATGCTTGGTTTTTTTTTTAGCAGTGAATCTAGCGGGATTAATGATATATATATACACTAAACCATATCTTATTTGTTGTCCTATATCCACGTTATATGTTATGCTATCACGTTTTCATTTTTATTTGTTTTGATTGTACAGGGATTGTTGATTCTGAAGATGATAAAGTGTTGTCTGGTCATGGAACTGATGATTATTACGGTTTTGATCCTTATATGGATGTAAATGTTTTTATGTACTTATTTATTATTTGGTTAATATAAATGTTTTTAGTTGGTCACGTTGAGAAAGAATTTTATTTTGATTGATGTCTTTGTTGTTTTTGTTTTTTTATGACCGTAGATATCCGGATAAGAGACTGTGTACGTGAGACAGAGTACAGCTTGGATACTAGACGATGCTATGAACTATTTTTGGTTGCAGTTTTTGGATCAGAGATCGGATATTCATATGTTTTCTTTTCTTTTTGTTTTTTTTTAAATTTTTAGGATTTTTCCTCATATTCCTTAGCATGTATGTGAAACATTTATACTTTCACAATGAATGGTATTATTTACTCTAGATGTCGTTGTTTATCAAAAAGATGTAAAATTTGAAAAAAATACAACAGACTTTAAAATAAGCAACATCTTCTCCAAACACACATTTTTAATTATGTATATTCAACTTTGTAAATGTAAACGTTGTATTGTATTCCAAATATAAATGGAAATCTATAGTACTTTGATTTTTGGTGACTCAGAAGGAAATTTTATGACTTTTATCCTCATATTATCCGACGAAGAAGTAATATATACAATTTTTAATATATGTTCAGTCTTTTACTTTCGGATCAGATTTTTTACTTTCCTGATGTCCTTTTTTTTTGTTAATTCATAGGGTGTTAAGGTTCAAGAGACTATAGACTTTGAAGTTGCTCGTAACTTTGGTCCATTGTTTGCTGAGGGTGATTGGGTGGTGTTGCGGAATTTTAGAGTGTTTCCCAACAATGAGTTGAATACCAAAGTCGTTTCGCATCCTTTTTGTATTGTTTTGGATTTGCACACAACTTTTACCAAAGTTTTGAAAGACAATTTTGATAATTTCTTTTCTTTTCTTGAATTCGAGAGCATATTGAATGGTTCTTACTGTGGTCGATGCGGTGTTGGTAAGACTAATTATTTTTTAATTTTTTTCAATTGTCATGTGTATGAATTTATATGTCTGTATATATTTTTTTTTTCTTTTTGATTTGAGATTTAATTGGCTGCGTTATGACTGTTGGGAATTCCGTCGATGAAGATAGAACTTATGAGAGTTACATGAACGGTGACGTATATCTTGAGTTAGAGAACAAAAGGTATATTATATCTTATATATTTTAGTTTGTACATTTCATCGTTTAAAAAACCAATTTATCCTATATATTCTGATGTTTATCAGCTGTACTTTTATAGGGGATGTCGCTTACCATGTCGGTTAAGGTGTCCTTATGGTTTTCAGTTCTTTTAGGGTTTATCAAAATGTGATGATCCTTTTATCATGTGCAGCATTTGCTTTGCAGAGGTCAAGTTTTTTAAAGGTGAATAAATTCCCTTATAGAGTTTTTATTTAAGTTGTTTTATCATCTGAATATTGGTCACTTAGTATAATTTTTTTGTGTATTTTACAAGGTAATTGGATAGTTAAGACGGCTTATAGTTGTACGCAGCTTATGTTAAACCCAAAGCTTCCCGAGGTGAACAATCTACTGGACTCATGGAAGGAAATCGGTAACGAGTGATGATTTAGGCCTGCTGATTAAATTGCATTAATCGATATTCGAATATTCCATAAAATGATACATTATATTTTTTATTATATTTGAACAATTTGTTATTCAATGTTA